AAGATATTACAATGCTCAACAGCATTGCGGGTTGATGCAATAAAGCATTTGGAGTGATTACATGATGACCCAATGGGAATAAAAAAGATGTTGATGAGAGTAATAGCAGCAGTGTTACTACTGATGTCAGACGGATCTTGGATGAAAACAGACATACCAGAAAGATGCTTACCTGTGTTTTACTGACTATGCAAAGGCATTCAACTGTGTGGATCATAACAAATTATGATTAACCTTGAGAAGAATGGGAATTCCTTAATTAAGCTCATGAAGAACCTATACATAGACTATACATATACATTTGAACAGAACAAGGGGATATTGCGAACATGTGCATCAGGGTGGTATCATTTTATCATACTTAATCTGTATGCTGAACAAATAATCCAAGAGGCTGGATTATATGAAGAAGAATGAAACATCAGGGTTGGAGAAAGACTCACTAACTTGCGCTATGCAGATGACACAACCTGGCTTGCTGAAAATGAAGAGGACTTCCTAAGACAGAAGAGGGTTGGACAGAGGCTAGAAGAAGATAGATACAGGGTTAAGGGAGAGGTTTTCTCTAAAATGACAGACCAGAGGGTGACTGGAGGGAAAAGCCAGCAGAGAAGTTAAAGCTGTCAGAGAGAAAGTATGTTAGATGGTATCAAACCAGACATGGAGGGCTGAGCTGTGGGAAGCAGTGTGAGCACTTCTCCCAACCGAGACAAAAAAGGGATTCTTAGGAAAGTATGGATTACACCTCAACATAAAGAAAACAAAAACCTTTACAACTAGAACAATAAGCAATGTCATGATAAACAGAGAAAAGATTGAAGTTGTGAAGCATTTCATTTTACTTGGATCTACAATCCATGCCCAGGGAAGCAGCAGTCAAGAAATTAAACGACGTCTTGATTGCACTGGGCAAATCTGTTGCAAAAGTGTTAAGGAGTAAAGACATCACCTAGAGGACTAAGGTGAACCTGACCCAAGGCATGGTATTTTCAGATGCCTCAGATACATGCAAAAGCTGGACAATGAATAAGAAAGACCAAAATAAAATTGGTGCATTTGAATTATGGTGTTGCTGGAAAATACTGAATACACCATGGACTGACAGAAGAACAAATCTGTCTTGTAAGAAATACAGCCAGAATGCTCCTTAGAAGCAAAGATGGTGAGACTTAATCTCATGTACTTTCAACATGCTATCAGCAGGGAGCAGTCCTTGGGTACATTGTACTTGCTAAGGTAGACTCCAAACCAAACTAAACTCACTGCCATTGAGTTGATTTTTACTCACAGCAACTCCCACTGGGTTTCCAAGGCCATAAATCTTTACAGAAGACGACTGCCTCATCTTTCTTCCACAGAGCGGCTGGTGGGTTTGAACCACTGACCTTTTTGTTAGTAGCCAAAGACCTTAACCACACCAGAATTCCTCTGTTCTAGTACAGAGTCAACAAAAAAATAGGAAGGCCCTCAACAAGATGAATTGGCATAGTGGTTGCAACAATGGTCTCAAACACAGCAACGACTGTGAGGATGGAGCAGGACCAAGCAGTGTTGCGTTCTGTTGCACACAGGGTCACTATGAGTCAGAACTGACTCAAAGGTATCTAACGAAAAACAACACAACAAAACTCCAAAATTTTGAATAGTTTTGGTTATTATAAAATTATAGGTCCACTATAAAATTTATTTGGCAGGAAAAGTTTATTAATACAAATCTAAGAGCTTTTGAGAATACAAAGCCTTGGGCTAGGTGTCACTGGAAAGATAAGGTACAAAGCTAAAGAATAGTTACAAATAATTATCGTAAAGGCACTGAAAAAAAAAAAGCAAAAAACAAAATGCCCAAAAAATCAATGAGCAATAACCAGGTAGGCTAAAACCAAAAAAATCAAACTCACTGCCAGCAAGTCAATTTTGACTCACAGCAACCCTATAAGCAGAGCAGAACTGCCCCACAGGTTTCCCAAGGCTGTAAATCTCTACGGAAGCAGACTGCCTTACCGTTCTTCCATAGAGTAGCTGGTGGGTTCAAACTGCTAACATTTTGGTCAGCAGCCAAATGCTTTAACCACTCTGCCATATTTACCTATTCTGTATCTTGTCTTCATGAAATTGAGTTTCTGGAAGGTCTGTTTACTGTGAGAAATTCCTTTTTAAATGGAAATATTCAAATGGAATGTAATTCTTAACCTCAAATATGGGATTCCTGCAAAGTCTGTTTTTTCAATGTTTATGGTGAGAAAATATATTTACTCACTACATTTGTATAGAAAATTGCTTTCGTTAGACTGTTTGCTTTACAAATTGGTTTTACTCCTTTAGGTTGCTAGAATCATCACAGTGCCCATATAATTATCTTTGACCTCATTAACTTATTTTGTAACTCTATCACTTTATAAGTGGCATCAATCCACTGTTTTCAGAGAATGTCAAAACCCTTTCTCCCTATAGGCCTATGTGACAAAAAAAAAAAAAATCCCTCCATGATACTAAAACAGAACACAAAGCATGTTTGCCAACAGTAATGAGTACCTACTAATGCCTACTAAATGCTATTAAGGTGTTCTAATGGTACAATGGTAAAGGCAGTCACTCAGCTGCTAACTAAAAGGTAGATGGTTTTAACCCACCAGCTGCTCTGAGGGAGAAAGATGAGGTAGTCTGCTTCTGTAAAGATTTATAGGCTTGGAAACCCTATGGGGCAGTTCTACTCTGCACTTTGGGGGAGCTCTGGTAGCACAGTGGCTAAGACACTTGCCTGCTAACCAGACGGCTGGCGGTTCAAACCCACCAGCCACTCCTCTGAAGGGAGGTTGGGCAATCCTACTTCCGTAGTGATACTGCCTCGGAAGCCCAAGGAGGGGTCGCTATGAGTCAGGTTTGACTTGACGGCACATAACAACAACAACAACAACAACAATGCCTTGATGGCAGTGGGTACTAACTGCCAGGCACTGTGCTAAGCACCTTCACATACATTCTTTTATTCAGTCCTCACAACAGCGCTGTGAGGTAGGTTGTTGTTATTGTTTTATTAGGTGCCTTTGAGTATACTTCAACTCACAGAACTGCCTCATAGGATTTTCTTGGCTATAATCTTCATGGCTGCAGATCACCAGGCCTTTTCTCCATGGAACCACTGGGTGGGTTTGAACTGCCAACCTTCTGCTTAGCAGCTGAATGTTTTTTAGGTATAATGACTGCTGTTGTGCACCATTGAGTCAATTCCGACTCACAGTGACCCTGTATGAAAGAATAAAACTGCCCCATCAGCTTTCCTAGGACTTATCTCCATAAAAACAGATTGCCAGATCTTTTCTCCTCTGGAGTGGCTGGTGGGTTCGAATCACCAACTTTTCAGTGAGCACTTAACTGTTGCACTATCAAGGCTCTTTAGGTATAATGATTATCGTGTGCTGTGGAGTTCTGACTCATAGCTGTCAAATCTGACTCATAATGACAGGGTAGATCTGCCCCATAAGGTTTCCAAGGCTGTAATTTTTAACAGAAGCAGACTGTCAAAATTTTCTCCCACAGAGCGGCTGGTAGGTTCAAATCGCCAACTCTTCCTTTATTTGCAGCTGAGAGCTTAACCACTGTGCAACCAGGATTCCTCTGTATAATAATTACCTCCTTTTAATTGATGTGGTGAAGCAGTTTGCTTAACAACATGCCATTATATCAGGAAGAGTTGTTTGGCTTGGAAAAGTGAAAGCTCTGGGGAAAAAGCAGGCAAAGTAACTACTTCAAATATCTGAAGCAATTATTCTTTGTGGAAGAGTAATTAGCAGTACGGGAGCAAGAACCAAAGGTGGAAGTTACAAAGAGAACATCCAAAAACAAAACATATTTTTCTGGATGTAATGCAATGTAATGCTGGAGAAGGAATTCAGACACTGGGTGGGAGATGAAATAGACTATTCCCTTCCCCTGGATTCCCACCTCTCACCTCTTCACTCTGTGTCCTTCTACTGTGCCTTCAGATACTGGTACATTCATTCTTCTTGCATTCAACAACCACTTAGTGACCTGCACTGTAAGCTACATTAGGCACCAGCCACATGTGGCTATTTAAATTTGTTAAAATAAAAATTGTAAATGCAGTTCCTTGGTTGCAATAACCACATTTCAAGTGCTCAATAACAAGTAGCTAGTGTTCTATGAAGGAGCTCTGGTGGTGTAGTAGATAAGGCACTTGACTGCTAACCAGAAGGTCAGCAGTTCAAACCCAATACCTGCTCTGCAGAAGGCAGACCAGGGAATCTACTTCGGTCAAGATTTACAGCCTCAGAAGTCGCTATGAGTGGGAAAAGACTGCATGGCAGTGAGTTTGGTTTGGTTTGAGTTGTTTCAGACAGCCGAGGTAGAGAAAGTGGCTACAAGAAGAAAAAACCTGCATTCCTGATCTTAAGGTGTTCACAGCCTAACGGAGGGGGTTAAAAAAAAAATTTACTTTAAAGTAGGTAACACTTACTGAGTTTTTGCTATAAATTAACAGTTGACTCAACTGGCGGTTCAAACCCGCCATTCTTCGGAACATTCTTCGGAAGGCGGGTTGGGCAATCTACTTAAGTAGTGATGTTGTTGTTTGCCGTGGAGTCGGCCCCGACTCATAGCGACCCCTCCTTGGGTTTCCGAGGCAGTATCACTACGGAAGTAGGATTGCCCAACCTTCCTTCCGAGGAGTGGCTGGTGGGTTTGAACCGCCAGCCTTCTGGTGAGCAGTCAAGTGCTTTAGGCACTATGCTACTAGAGCTCCTAAGGGTCGGAAACAGAAGAAGGGGTCGCTATGAGTCGCTCCGACTGTACGGCAGTAAGTTTGGTTTTTTGGATTCCCGCCACCCCCTGCCTTTAACTTCAGGCAAGCCTCTTGGAAAATGGGGACCCTGACCCTCACAAAGCATAACCACACACATCAGCCTAGCCGCCTGGCAAACAGCAGGCGCTGAGGAGCCGCAGCCCGCTCGGCTCCCGCCCCTCTCGTCCGGCAGCACGCCTACCCTCGCAGATTTGCACCCACAGGTTCTTGTCAGGCGGCTCCGCGACATGCCCCGGAGACACTGGCAATTCGGGGGATATGGGCGACACGATGGGCACCGGAGTTCTGATGGGGACCGATGACTCGGGGGAGCCGGGTGACTCCTCAGGCAGGCCCATGTGGCTCAACATCCTAAGTAGCCCAGCCAAGGCCACGGTTTCCACAGCAACCGGGCATGCCGCGCAGCCAAGACCCGGAAGGAGCTGGAACCCGCGGGGGTGGGTTAGCTACTAGAGATTGACTTCCGGGTCACGGCAGAGCTTGCTCTCACGTGGAGAAGGGGCGGTCTGGCCTACGGGTGAGTGTGGAGAACGCGGAGCGAAGCGGAGTGGGGCGAGGTCTGGGGCTTTGGGTTTACCCGGCGGAGACGAGAGGAAAAAGCGTGAGTCCTGCATCTCAAAAGTGCTCTCTCCGAGCCTCCGTGTGCGCCTAGGCTGAGGCCGCTGCCTCTAGGCAGCTCTTCACCTTGCAGCCTGGCCCCGGACCTCAGTATAATCGCTACCTGTGTGTTTATGCGAACGCTCTGGCGCAGCGGTGCCCTGAGGGACTCATCTCTCTGCCAGGCTCCCTTCCTGCTCGTAGCCCTCCGGCGGGAATGGGGTATTGAAGCCATTGTGGAGAGTCTAAGCTCTGGAGACCTTCGGACTGGGTTCGAATCCCAGTTTTGCCACTTGCTAGCTTTGGGATTTCGGGCAAGTGAATTAAAGTCTCCAAGAGGGCTAGTGTGTGAGATGGGATATTCACACCTACCCTCACGAAGCTACCGCGAGAGTTCAAAAGTGCTTTTGGAGAAAGTTTCCACTCACGGGGGTCATACTGTAAGGCACGTTTCCTCATTTCTCTCCCTTGGAAGGATGGATACATTTAGAGTAGCAGGGTTGAAGAGAAGAATAGGCTTCAGGGTTCTGAATGGCAGAGAATGGGAGAAAAGGATCAAGTTGACCAGCAGTCTCCCCGTGGTCTTTCTGTTCTTGCCAGCTCTTAAGATCCCTCCACCTTCCTGATGCTTGGCTTCCCTGACCACACCTTCCCCAGTTTGTGCCTTCTATTTCCTTTGCAGGCCCTTTGCCTCTGCCCACCCATTTAAATATTAGTATTTCCTGAGGTGCTGTCTCTTGCACATTGGTGGTTTAATTTCCATATGTTTGTGGATTACTACATTTATGACTTCACGGTCAGACCCACCAAACATCTTCACTTGCATAGTTCAGGCACCTCGGACTCTGTCCAAACTGGTGAGATCACACTCAGAGGCCCCTGGCCTCCATTATTTCTTGTCTGAGGCATTAGCACCACCATCCTACCTGTTCTGAGACATCTCTAGAAACTTTTTTTGGCAGTTGGTAGGCTGGATTAGATGCCCGTCCCCAGCACCTGACCTTACCGTTGTGCTCGCATTTAACACCTGTATGTATCGCAGTTCTTACCCTCTTTCCCTCCCACACCTATCTAGTTCTTGATGGCAGCTGTTTTTTTTTTTTTTTTTCTTCTTTTATCTCTGTATCCCTAGCTTTCGAGGAGTCAGCAGCAGGGATCCAGGTGAGGGGAGGGAACCCATGCTACACCCCACAAGCAGCAAGGCGGGAAAGCGGGAGAAAGGGAGGAAAAAGGACAGGGAGCAGGGACGGAGAGAGGAGGCAGCAGTAGGCATCCAGGTAAGGGAAGATTGGAGAGGTTTCAAACAGCTAAGGGAGACAAACTTGTGTGGTGGTTTGTCCAACTGTGGTGATGTGTTGCTGTGAGTCTTGAGGCTGTGCCACCGGTGTTTCAAACCCACCAGGGTGCACATGGTGCACAGGTCTCAGCAGGGCTTGCAGATTGAGACAAATTAGGAAGAAGGAAGAGGCCATCCACTTCTGAAAGAATTGGCCAGGGAAAACCTTATGAATAGCAGAGAAACACGGTCTGATACATTACTGTGCTACTTTGTGAATAGTCTGGAAACATTGTCCAATACAAAGGAGGAGGATGAGTCACTTAGGTTAGAAGGCTTTCAAAATAGGACTGGAAAAGAGCTGCATCATCAGAGTAAAACCAGCCTTACTCATATGGAGTCATATGGACTCATATGAGACCTTCATTTGCTGACGTGGCATGACTCAAATTGAGCAGAAACAGCTGCAAACATCCATTAATGATCAGAACATAGAATATACGAAGTATGAATCTAGGAAAATTGGAAGATGTCAAAAATGAAATGGAACACATAAAGATCGATATCCTAGGCATTAGTGAGCTGAAATGGACTGGTTTGGGCCATTTTGAATATGACAGCCATATGATCTACTATGCCAGGAATGGCAATTTGAAGAGGAATGATGTGGCATTCATCATCACAAAGGATGTTTCAGGATCTGTCCTGAAGTACGATGCCATCAGTGATAGTATAAGATCCATACACGTACAAGGAAGACCCATTAATATGACTGTTATTCAGTTTTATGGACCAACCACCAAAGCCAAAGATGAGGAAATTAAAGATTTTTTATCAACTTCTGCAGTCTGAAATTGACCAAACATGCCGTCAGATGTGTTAATTATCATTGGTGACTGGAATGCAAAAGTTGGAAACAAGAATCACTGGTAGTTGGAAACTTCGGCCTTGGTGACAGAAACAATGCTGGAAATCGCATGGTAGAATTTTGCAAGACCAACAACTTACTGATTGCAAATACCTTTTTTTCGCAACACAAATGGAGGCTGTGCACGTGGACTTTGCCAGAGGGAACACACAGGAATCAGATTGACTACATCTGTGGCAAGAGGCAGTGGAAAAGGATATCTTTAGCCAAAACCAGGCCAGGAGCAGATTGTGGAACAGACCATCAACTGCTCATATGCAAGATCTACTTGAAGTTAAAGACAATTAAAACAAGTCCACGAGAGCCAAAATATGATCTTGAATATATCTCTCCTGAATTTAGAGAGCATCTAAAGAATAGATTTGATTCATTGAACACTGTGGTACTTATGTTTGTGTGTCAACTTGGCTGGGCCTGGTTGAGTGGCTGGGCAGCTGGTGGTAATATTCCCCACGATGAGACTGGTAATCAATTCCATGGTGGAATCTACTGTGAGCAGCTGAGTAGCTGCCTTAGGGAATGTGGTATGCTTCCTGTATTTAAGCAGAAGCCTTGGGAATGGTCTCTAGCCTATGGCATACTTGGACCCTACATGTAGCTGTGTCATTGCTCAGCAGCCTGCTATGCTCTGCCAACCTTTGGACTTACAATGGACTTAAGTTAATGGCTTGCTGTGTGGTTCAGTAACATCAGCACCGTGCCTTTTGACTTGTCAACCTTGGGGCTTCTCAGCCTCAGCAGCCAGCAGCTGTCTGAGTGAAGAAACACCTCTAGCTCCAGTGGGCCAGGAGCAGGAGGCAGAGCTGGACTCCTTGGTTGAGGGGCTTTCACCCAGCCCCTAGAGCCTGGTACTTTGAACTTGGACTTAAA